TGGTCCCCAACCTTGATTTCTCATATGTTCCTGGATTAAAACTCACAGAAGCTGTGCTGGCCAGGATTTATGGGAGTTGTAGTCCAAGAACATCTGGGGCCCAGGGTTGGGAACTACTGCTTTAATTATCATACATTGTTACCAATTGCTTGCTCCTTTATAACTTTTCTTTAAGCTGAAGATAGGATTGCCAGATCTGATTCTTGACAAGACTCTTGGCTTCTATCCCATAAATCTAGCTACTTGAATTTTGGGCTCCATATGGCGGCTACTGGGAGAATGGATGGAGTCAAGCTGCCTGTGCTGTGTGACATGTGGGGCATGAAGAATTCCGTGATGCTACATACCTGTCTTAACATCACAAGGACAGTTACCTTCCACTACTGGCTGGAAAATGCATATTTTATCAGTGGCTACATGTGGGTATAGAAACAGCTCAACAGAAATAGCAGATGCTGGAGAAAGGACTGGCTATTATGGCTAGGCATAAGGCCTCACCAGACTGAGAAGGCTCAGGCTCAGGCACCTCTAAATCCATATTCATTCATCGTTTAAATAAAAATAATCAATGTATTTGTGACTACATTTTATATTCAAATCAGTATTCATCTATTTCTGCCAAATGCAAACTGTCATTTTACTTTCCCCTGTATGAAAATAAGTAGCAGAGATATCCAGGGTGATAGTCCTTTTGGTCTGTTACAGCAAAAAATACCAAGGAGATTCAGGGCACTTTAAAGATTTAAAAAAATTGAGATGAGCTTTCATCAATTACAGCCATTGTATTTGATGAAGTGAACTACAGATCAAGAAAGTTTATGCCAAATAAAACCTGTTGGTCTTTAGGTTTTCACAATACTCTTTTTTGTTTTAAGGAGAGTGAAGTTGTATGTGAGGGGAAGATGTTAAACAACCATAGGGTTAGCCACAGAAGATGTTCCAATATATCTATGCTCTTCTTTATACCTTTTCCAACTAAAGGGACAATTTTTTTTTGTTATTCCCCATCCCACCCCCATATAAAATATAACCGTCCCTTTAACCTCCCTACAGGGCCAATGTACTACTTTTTCTCTTTGTATAGCCCCAATTCAATTAAAAATTAGGGCACAACATACTGATTTGTTGGAAACAGCCCATGTAAAAAAAAGAGAGACAAATTCATATGGAACAAAAGGAAACAAAACAGACAGCTGTGCAAGAATGAAAATCCCTCAAATGTTAACTTGGCTAATAAAGAAGAAACAGCCTGCACAAAAGTTGATTGTTTTTAAGAGGAAGTAAGAATTTACAAAGGAGAATACCAAAAGAATTTACAAGAAAAAACAATAATTGTAAATGAGATGCTAGGCTATCTCAATACACAAGTTTTTTTAAAAAGCGGCCAAGCAGCATGCAAGGTTTATTAAGGAAACCATAACTACAAGAATCTTATATAGTAACACTCGAACAGAGTCCCCCAAATACACAAACACCCAGAGCATTCGCCAAAGGTAAATCCCTCTTCAGATATATAAGTAATCTATCCATTTGTACAAAACAGTGTACAAAGATGATGGCTTGTCAGACGGACATCTTCTGCTTAGGCCTTTAAACTACCTCTGCTTCATTCTTTCCTGCACAGTCCCTTTCTACTACTTGTGCATGACCAGCTAATTTTGGATTCTCTAATAAAACAAATTCTTTGCCCCTCCTTTTTCGGCGCCTACTTTCAGAGCACCATTTCTTGCAAAAACATCTGCACAGGAGATTGAGTTTTCATTTTCAAAACCAACCCAGTTTATTGGTTCCACACCCAGGAAGGTAAAAGCAATCCTTTCACCCATGACTGGAAATCAAAGAGAAGGAAACATCCCAAGGGCAGAAAATTGGACTGAGAGAGGAGGGAGGGTGTTGACAAGAGGGGGAGGAAAATGATATAGAGTAAGGTACAAGGTACAAGGAAGTTAAACAAATTCAGTTCTCTTGGTCCTTGTATTTGTGTTCTGAATCCCATCTTTTACTATGTTTTATATCTCTTTCCCTCCCTCTCTCCACCTTCACTTTTCACATCCTCTCTATACATTTTGTGTATGCACAATGTGATCTGAACCTTAGATATTCCCCCAAACTCTTCCTCATTTTCTCTCCCATTTCTATTTGAAGTATCCTCTGCTCTGCAATGCTTTAGCTTATCTATTCAATTAGCATGGTATTTCTCTATTAAAAACTGTTAATCTAAAATTTAAATGTATTTGAGGAGGACAACAATAATGGCCAAAATCCTGTTGCTTTAACTTACTCTGCATAAAACCAATGATGTCATCAGCCACAGTTTCTTTTTTGGAAATTAAAACATTCTGATTCCACCCCCACCCCCCAAAGGTTCCAAGGCTCCTCCGAGATTTCTTTCGTTGTGGGGATGAGTTTGGGTGTTGCCAGACAAAATGGTATTTTTCAATTTCTGAAAACCACCACTTTTGGGATAATTTTACTAGCAGCTGTGATTTTCAGAAATTAAACATTCGTTTCCCCCCCCCCCATGTCCTTCAATGGCTTCCCTATGATGGAAGGGATCACAGTGGAGACTTGGGATCTTTAGGGAGGGCTAACTTTATCAGCCTGATGCAGCGTAAGTTATGCTTCTGGTTTTCAGCTAGTAAAAGAGCAGCGGCAACGCTTAGTAGCCAAGAGCAACACAGAATGAAGATTTAGCTAGTTATGGCTGCTAACTTACATTCAGTAACTCTAAGAGGGATCATGCATGAGAGATGGGGGGTGAGGCTATAGAAATAATTGCAGTTTTGCAGTTTCAGCTTCTCCACCAGAAACACTGAAACACAGAGAAGCAGGCAACAAGAAATGTGCAATTACAATTCTTGATCAAAAGGAAAAACAAAAGACACAGTTTATTAAAAGCCAGATACATATTCTGCTTGAATTCTGTATCTCAGAAATCACTACTAGATATTCAACTAGTTATGGAGAATGATTTCCTTAGGTTATTATTTTACACATTTCATTTTTGGACTTTATTTCTATTAAAGCTTATCTATCAGGAAGAATACCATTTTTGCCCTGTAGTCATTTTGATGGAAAGTCTAGCGTAGATGCGAAATGGGCTGGAGAAGAGCAGAACTGAGGGGTGTGTGATTGCACTGTAAAGTCGATACAAGAATTGAAGTGTCTGAAAGGCACTCCCCTTTTCTAAAACTGAAGACTGAAACAAGTAATGAACACAGAGAATAAAAAAGAAATAAAGGGGTGTGTGACTGCACTGTAAAGTCGATACAAGAACTGAAGTGTCTGAAAGGCACTCCCCTCTTCTTGCTCTGCTAAAACTGAAGACTGAAACATGTAATGAACACAGAGAATAAAAAAGAAATACATGAGTCATATGACTTTATGGGTTTTAACATCCATGTTTTAGATAGTCTGTTCCACTGTTCAGCTCTGTTTTAACAAGAATGCTTGCTTCATGGAACTGTTAGTTTTTAGGTACATATATGCTTATATACTATTTTACAAAACTAAAAGAAACAAAGAGAGAAGTTCAAATGCAAAGTGCTCCCCCCCATCTCCCTCTGTTGATCAGCTGAATATGATGCACTGGATGTTTTCCTAGGGTGTGAACATGCTACCTGCTTGACATTTGTGGTTGTTTGTGAAATGTCATCTGTTCCACATTTTGGGTGTTTGAGGATGAAATAAAAAGTACAGTTTATATACAGGGAATGAAATCAGTCCAAAGAAATACAACATATGTTGTTCAATGGATGAGAGATAAAAGCAGCAACGAAACTCTGCCTTCTCTGCCCACTCTGTTTCAATAGCAAACGAGCATTGGTGGTATCCGAATTGAACAGAAGGAGACATATGTCACCTAACTGCTCTCACAGCTAGTGCAGTACCAAGGCAAATGCAGTCAGGACCGATTATTCCCTAGTGCATTAATAGGCTACTTTCAAAAGATATATGGGTCTCCCTGCATGGTCAAAGAAATGCACTGTGGCATTTCTAATTGTCCCTGGAGTTTGTGGCAGGGATGGTGGGGCAAAGATAATTGTGTTTATTTAAAATATTTTAATAGTTAAAATAAAAAGCACAGTACTGATTCTAGATCAAGGTTCTTTGTGACTTATTCCAAATGCCAGTTTTTTTGCCTTTAGAGAACCTTCCATTTTCATTCACACTTCACCTCCATAGTCTCCATGCCTCTCCTCTGGCCTCCTAATGTTCTATTCTGTATCTTCTATTTTAATAGTTAAAATAAAAAGCACAGTACTGATTCTAGATCAAGGTTCTTTGTGACTTATTCCAAATGCCAGTTTTTTTGCCTTTAGAGAACCTTCCATTTTCATTCACACTTCACCTCCATAGTCACCATGCCTCTCCTCTGGCCTCCTAATGTTCTATTCTGTATCTTCTATTTGTCTTCATCGTGTTCCCTTTTCTCATTCTCTCTCCCACTTCCTTATTTCTTGCTTGACCACTGAACCATCTGTCCAGTGTGATGTATTAGATACTGTGTCGAACTAGAACCAGGCTTGCATCTGGGTTAGCCATGGAAACTCATTAGCAGATGGGGGAGGGGTGGCACTGGTAAACCCTCTCCTTAAATATCTCACTTACCTTGAAAACCTTATTTAGTTCACTGTAAGATGGGACATGATGAGGCATAACATTTAACACTGGTTTGTTTAAAGGTCTTTGCAGTATGTGCTAGTTACATTTTCCTTTTCTTCTCACAGTTGTGACTTTTATGACAGCCAGTGAGGAAGCAGCAATAATTGGACGGCATCAGAGTTCAACAACACCACTCACAGTTGCCACACCCTGAGCCCCACAGTTCCTGATGGAGATGTACACAGCTGGACTCTTTTAACAGTGGAATAAATTATGGTGAGAATTACCTTCACACAATGTAGGCTGCTATGATATCAAAAAGTGACCTGTGCCCTTTACAGCACCTAATGCTATACTGCCAAGCCCTCCCTCTCAGTAATAAATAGTTGCCTTACTGCAGCCATCTTCATCGCTGTGGTCCCCACAGTCATTGTCGCCATCACACTGCCACTGAGCAGGGATACAAGTGCATTCCACAAAGGCGCTCACTGCACAGGTGAAGTGGTTGCGTCCACAAGAACATTCTGTGCCACTGCTAGCTGCACCTGTTGGAAGAAAATAATCAGTATCTCAGAGAAATGTGGCAAGAGGCATATAACTTACTTTAAAATGCACAGTAGAGGGTGACATTGTAAGCACCCTCCCATACATATCATATACTGTCTAACACACTCCCTGCTAATGTGCCTTAGATTTCTGAGATGCAATTGACTAGAAGCAACCACTGAATGCAATTGTTCAAGAGAGAAAATCTAGAGATTGGTATTGTGAAAAAATATCTGGGGCAGTTTAGCTCAATATCCTATTCCCAAACACCTCCATCTCTATATTCTTCCTTATGCCATGCAGATGAACACCATATGAGGACAATCTCCAAAGTCCTTTTTAGTATTATAAGAGTTTAAGTCACACACATACAAGACTTTAGGGTTTGTATTTAAAAGAGAATGCCCAAGGTCTAAAAAGCCAAAAATAAAAACATTGTTTATAATTGAAAGCAGCAAATAGGCAGATGGTAGATGAGAATGCACTGGCCAGTCACCAGATGGTTTGCAGTAAAACAGCAATTTTTCTTCAAAATTATTTAATAATATAAAACCCTTTGTCTGGTTACCATCAAGAGAGAAAAGAAATGAGAAATAAAATTACTGCATGAACAAATTCTTTGCAAGTAAGCTCTATCTCTAAAAATAGGACATAAGCAATAGATCACTCAAGTGTATCAGAAACTTGAAGACAGGATCCATGTGTCTGAATATGACACTTTTGTCTCATGTTCGCACCAGTCAGCTGAGGAGATCCGGAAATGAGTTGGAAGCCAAGAAACCTGCCCATTGGATAAGTAAAGTGATTAAGGGGATAAAATGCACTCTTCCCATACGTGTGTTGGAATGTTTCTGGTGCTATTTGTGTTGCTGCAGATTCTAAATCAGGAATGGCTATAACATCCCTTCTTTGAGGATGAAACATTTCATTAGCATTTTCATGTGGGCAAAAGACAAGGAAATTCATGCAGCTGTTGCCTAAAAATCCTGTCAATTTACTCAGAACAGTGGAGGGTAGCCTTCAGGAATGCAGGACCTACTTTCTGTCAGGGATGGGGTGCTAGAACCCAGAGGTCCACCAACTATGTACAGGTGCAGAAGAGCAGCTCAGACAGACAGATATAAGAATTAGGAAGGTTGCTGCTGAGTAAACACTCAGCTTCGCACAAGAATTTATCACCAATACCAGCAGCAATGTTTTATTTCCCTTCATGCTTAAATCCACTCAGGTTTTCTTCTTATGAAGTGGTGGTCATATGTGAAAACTGGGAGGCAGAAATCTCACTGAATTGCAAAACCTTACAGTCATTATCCTATTACTAGTCCCAACTATAGTAGATTCACAGACTCAACATAATTGATATACAGATGTGCCTCGCATTACGATGTTAATTCGTTCCAGCGAAATCGCTGTAGAACAAAAATGTCGCAATGCAAAATCAAAAAGCCCATAGAAACACATTAAAACCCGATTAATGCGTTCCTAGGGGCTTGAAACTCATCTTCCAGCGAAGATCGTCCATAGGGTGGCCATTTTCGCTGCCTGTGCAGTGAGGAATCCGTCCCAGAAAAGAGCGGGGAGCCATGTTTTTTTCCGGTGGCCATTTTGAAACTACTGATCAGCTGGCCAAAAATCATTGCTTTGCGAGAATCGGTTCCTGAAGCAGGGAATCGATCATCGCAAAGTGAAATTCCCCCATAGGAAACATTGTTTTGCGATCGCTTTTGTGATCGCAAAACCTTCAACGTAAAGCGATTTCGTCGTAAAACGGAGCGCTCGTAATGCGAGGCACCACTGTACTGTATAATTCAACCACTCATTTAGTGGATCTACTCTGACTCTTGGAAATGATAATTCAAGCTCAGTCTCTGTGTGTCCTGCATAACATTTTATTAAGTTCCACATGTGGACTATTCAAACAAACGTATTGTTTTACTGCAAAATTCAAGAGACATCATAATGTGTAGAGTAATGATAAGAAATTAAGACAATTTCTGAAAGATAAAATATGTAAGATAGTGTGGGGGGAAAAGGCTATAAAGCTAGTTTCTCTTCCCCGGTTTTGAGGTCAATGGCATTAAGTTTTCTGCAAATACAGGCATTGTGCAATCTATAACGACTTGCAAAGCTACATCAGAACATATTACACACACACAGTCAAGAGGAATGAAAAGGCCTTTGAATTCAAGGAGCCAATGGGGTATAGTGGATAAAATGACAGACTAGGACTCATGAGATCTGATTCAAATCCCCACTTGGCCATGGAAACTCACTGGAGATGGCACTGGTAGAACCATTCCTTAAATATCTCACATGCCTTGAAAATCCTATTGGAAGCCCCTTATCAGCATATAGCACACACTTCTCACTACACACCAAATTACCCCACTGCATGCACCAGGAAGCTAGAGCCATCAACAGCCTTCTTCTCACCATCAATGAATCTATCTGATACCATAATGCATAATATTTCCACGTTCCAAAGTTTTCTTTTCTTCCTTAAAAGTTTACCCAAATGCGTCAGGCAGATCCAGCAGGTTTGATTCATTCAGAGAAGGAAAAGAAGCACAGCAAGTCTATACAGGTCATATAAGGTTTATGACTTGGGCAAGCGTAAATGGCAGCAATCACACATACTATAAAGATTATCTGGAATCTGAGGAAAGTCAATTTCCAGGATAAAAGAATGGCACACCGAAGGCAATAAATCTCATTGTGGCAATAAAGTGAGAAAAATAAAGGGAATGAGAGAAAGGACTAGTTCTAACAAGCTGCCTTCAAGCAAATAACGGCAGTTTAAAATGACATAATCACTTCAGTACCCACTGAAAAGCTATTGCCAGCTTCAGGAGAATCAGAGCTAGCAGCTAAAGCAACCTCTGCCAACCTGTAACTCTTTTCTCCAACTGGCACAGCCTTTAGCGGTAAGGTCTAACACAGCTGGAAAGCCCCAGGTGGGAGAAGATTCCAATATATCTTGGTCAAGCAGCTATTATTTGAAATGCATAGTCAAGTACACCCTGTCATGCAAAAAGTAAAGAATTAGCTAAAAGAAAAAAATGACTTTTCCTCTTGTTTTCAAAAAGACTGCATTGACAGATCTTGCAGTTAGAAGGACAGAAATCCACAACTGAAAAGTGGAAAGAAGCGCCACATATGTTCCCTTCAAATTACTGGAGGAAAAATGGAGTATAAATGGAACTAATACATTTACTACACCTACCCTATCCTAGTGAGTGCTAGGATACCTTGAAGAACATCTCTTTAAACCTCTTAGACACCCCATCTTTAAAATGAAAACACTACAGTATTTCTGAAAGCTCTGTGCATGTTAGGAACAGCTTTGCAAGATGAAAATTTATATCATGTTATTCAAAAAAGTTATTATAACTGGCTTTAATATGAACACACAAGTCAAATGGTAGCTGAAGAACTCAATATGACAAAACTACACCAAGAATGCAGCTAGGAGAAATTACAGGATCAATTTTTAAAAAAAAAAATCATCAGGGACATGGGAAGTGGGAACACACACATAGAGAGGCTCTCAGCCAATACACAAAAAAAGAAATGAAACAAAAGCTCCTGAGGAAGCAAAATAAAATAATCATCATATGAGAGGCAGGAAATTATGAATCAAATATATGAATATATGGTAGGAAGACATATTTGGAGACACTTAGATATATTTGCATCTTGCATCTGAAATCTTACATCTGCTTTTAGTCTGATCCAAACTTCACTCAAGTTAATTTCCACAGAATTTAGCTGAGCTTCTCCCAAACAAATGTACACAGGACAACATTACTTAAATGTAAATCAGAATGAAATCAAAGGGCATTTTGAATAAGCTTAGTCAAGGCCAACTGCAAGATAAAAAGGAAGGCATGTTGAAACCAAGATCTCTGAAGCCCCGAATCTCTGTTTTATAGAACATGTTCTCAAAACATCCTGCTAGCATCACAAACTAACAAGGACAGCAATGGAACTTCCAATCTTTTCATCCAGTTCCTCTAGAAATGCAACACATACTGCAGTTAATCTTCTGTTTTTCAGAAATCAAAGAGTTGTCGTGTTACCTTTCAATACATATCAAAAAACCATTCCTCCAATTCTATACACAGTAGTAGAAAGAAACCCTCATTCATGTTCCACTCATATAGGGCAGAGACTACTACAGCATTCCATGTCTAGTCACGCTGGCCACGGAAACTGTCTACAGACAAACACTGGCTCAATGGCTTGGAAGCGGGGATGAGCACCGCCCCTAGAGTCGGACACGACTGGACTAAATGTCAAGGGGAACCTTGACTACCTTTACTACAGTCTCACTCTTTTATGGCCCTTCACTCTAGCATCTGTCTACTGATTGGCTATACCAGAATGTTGCTCATACCAACCTCTTCCTCTTTTTTTATTATTATGATTCTTTTTTCTTCAAGACTCTGTACTGGCTCTAACATTTTCAGCATCTGTGTGTGCGTTTTATTACTGTTATTAACTGTTTAACCACCGTAACTGGCCTAGTCAGAATATCATGTAGGCATGAATGATGTATTGACTAGAGATGGCATGAACTGCTGAACCCGGCGGTTCACGCCCATATCTAGTATTAACTGATAACACATTGAAATCTATATTCCATCCTTCCTCAAATGTGTTTGCTCCTGTCAGACTGTAACTTCTACCATCTCCAGCCAGCGGTGTCCATGCTGTTGGTCTGGAGAACATCAGGTTGGGGGAAATTGGCTCACTGATAGCACTCATCCACAGATGAATGGTATTAGAATTTTTGTTGTGCAGCTCGCGTTCTGTAGGAATCTGTACATATTGAAAAGGAAAGCTTAAAGGCTATGTCATATGGACCACTTATTTCATCCCTGGAGATAAGCCTGAAAAATCTTGTTTCAAATGATGTCACATTCAATTGACTTATAGCAACTCTAATAGGGTTTTCAAGTGAGATATTTAACCACCCTTCAGTGAGTTTCCATGGCAC